AGTAGAGACTGGCAATTCCAGGACTGAAATGATGATAAATGATTCTAGTGAAGGTGTATGGAGTTCAAAAACACAGTAGAGCTGTATTAATACATGACATCACAAAGTGGAACAGAGTGTTTTCTGTTTGAGTTTGTGTGTTAAACGTGTGTGAATGAAAGAAAACACAACTCCAGGTTTTGAAGTGGAAACAACATTATAAGATAGATCAGAAAAGTACAGTACAAATGTAATTGCACGAGTATTCTGTAAATTTGAACTGTAGTACTAGTGTAGTAGTAGTAAATTAGTAGTAGTAAAGTGCTTTGTGTTGCATGAAATGTATGAAAATCGCTCTATAAATAAAGTTTGTTGTTGCTGTTGTTGTAAATTGTAAAAAGACAAAACAAACTGACATATTATCTTGTTACACAGGATTGATGTTAAATGTGCAGTGTGAATTCAAAACAGTTCTTATTTAATATTATATGAGGTTTTATCTTATGTGAGGTGCATTTGGTCTTCAGATTTGGTCTGAAAAAAGAATAAACTAGAAAAGCACTCAGAGAGCGCAGACCTCCGCCAAGGACTAACCCCATTTTTGATATAAATTGTGATAAAATCAGTCTTCTGGATCAGATCCGGATCAGCCTTTGGAATATGAAAGAGGATCCCATTGTCCATCCCTGAGTCAAATTTCATGGGGTTTGGTCAATAATTAACCGAGATATTGAGAAACAACATTTTTGGCCCCATTTACCACAATGTTAACTAAAATTTCAAAGTGATCCAGAATCCAGGATTTCTTCCGGATCACCCCCAAAATGAAATCAGTTCTTCCTTTTCACATTTCCAACAAATCCTGAAAATTTCATCAAAATCGGTCCATAACTTTTTGAGTTATGTTGCTAACAAGACAAACAAACAAACAAACAGACAAACGCCGGCAAAAACATAACCTCCTTGGTGGAGGTAAAAATATACACTCTTATTTACCCATATAAATAAACAGTATATTGAAAAAACTACTAGATATATAATATATACTCAGTGTTGGGAAGGTTACTTTTAAAATGTATTCCCCTACAGATTACATACCCCAAAATGTAGTTTGTAACATAATCCATTAAATTACTTAAAGTGAGTAACGTAATCTGATTACTTTGGATTACTTGGTTTGCTGTAGAGAAGCAAAGACGAGGAAATCTTCACATAAGATGTTTTATCTGATAAAAGAAAATGAAAAGGCCGAGTCTTTACTTAACCAAATCAAAAAAATATCATTGATATAGAGCATGGTTTAGTCCTGTTAAATCCTGTTTTAGACCTGGTTTAGTCCTTGTTTAGACCTGGTTTAGTCCTTGTTTAGACCTGGTTTAGTTCTTGTTTAGATCTGGTTTAGTTCCTGGTTTAGTCCTGGTTTAGTCCTTGTTTAGACCTGGTTTAGTCCTCGTTTAGACCTGGTTTAGTCCTGGTTTAGACCTGTTTTAGTGTCTTGCAATTAGTGGAATTACCAAGAAAAAAAAAAAAAGGGATATAGCCCAAAATGTGAAAACAGGAAAATACCGCCATATAATCAATTTATTTCAACAAAGTAACTGTAATACAATTACCACTCATTGAAACAGTAACTGTAACTGAATACAGTTACTCATAATTTGTACTCTGATTACGTAACTCCTGGTACATGTAATCTGTTACTCCCCAACACTGTATATACTATAAACAAATACTTGTGCTTTCAAACGATTACTTTCTGTCGACGCTTGTGCGGTTTAGCTAAAGGTACAAAGTGTGTGTCCGATACCGAAGGGGCTATGACAGGGCTAATTACAGCTAAACTCTGGGCTGTGATGTTGTGTTCAGGGGCCTCATCTGACATTCAGTAAATGCCAGACTGACAGCTCACTGTTACACAAGATCTACGCGTCTTCTGTATGTGTGAGCGCGAGAGGCGGCGTCACGGAGAAAATGCCACTCCTATAGGCTATGTGTTTTGGACCTGACTGTGGAGAGTGTTTAAGAGACTGTCACATTTCTTATTTCACAAGTTAACATCATTTTATTTATGCGGAATGATTCATGTTATAGTTATTTACTCTCTCAAAGTTGTATATGGAGCAATCTTTAATCACTTATTTTCAAGACACCATATCGCCAATCAATCCCCATTTTCATCGGCACGGTACTAACTAAAATTTGGCAGTGTTGTGGAGTTAATTTGGTAGAAATTTAAAAAAATATAATCCCCTAGTGTGATCGGCAGCCATCTGTAGGAGCGGCCAACACCTGCAAGGCTTTTTGTTGTGTTGACGTTTATGGCGACGTCAGCTCCCATTTGGCACCACGTTTTTTCCAACATTTAAATCACCTGAATTGCTTCTTTTATAAAGTCGTTTTTAATATAATGCCTTTTTTGACATCAATGTCTTGCTGTTTCAAAGTTCAGAGTTAGTTTTATTGTAGATTTTTTCACATCTACTAGACACACAAAAGAATCGAAATTATGTTTCTCTCGATCCCGTATGCAGACAACGATTGGAAAAGCGAGAGGCCGCTAATGCCGGGCGTACACTCTGCGATATTTTCGATCGTTTCACTCAGCCCCAGCTCAAACTGTACGACCAAATCGCAGGTTCAAAAGTTCATAGCTCGTCAAACTACTTCAACAGCGTGAAACCCTCATGAGAGGCGACTGGATTTCAAACAGGTTTGATATTCTTGCGACCTACGATTGTCGATCAGGAGCTGGTCATGAGGTATTAATCAGTTCTCGTTACCCCATGTTTACTACACGAAGCACGACACACGATTAAAACAACAAAACTCGGCCTGATCCCAAAAACAGTTGCACAAGTGAAAAATCGTCTCAAAAAGGGCCAAAAATCACATAGTGTACACCCGGGTTAAGTCTGCACGTGCCGCCCTTCTAACCATAAGTTTTGCGTCAAGTTTTGCTGCAGCCAAACTTTCTGCTGCTTATTTAGAAGTTATTATACCTTTCATGTGTTTCTCTTTGTTATTATAATATGCTGTGAGCTACCGAGTCCAAATAATTTCCTTTGTGGATCAATAAAGTTTGTCTAAGTCTAAGTTTTAGATGAATATTGCGATTTAAAATGTGCAAATTATAACATAATGATCACGAGTGTTTAGAGATTATAACAATAGCAGGCTGAAGCACATTATGTCTTCATTAAGATTTTACTAAAAAGTCTTAGTTTTGACTATTTTTTGTATTTTAGGTAAAGTTAATCATGGGCAGGAGATGTGACATGCATAGAGGTATTTCAATAATTGTTACCTAGCAACCGCTGATATTAACAAGGTCTAAATTACAGAAATAAAAGTAAATGAAAATACCTACATTTTGTTGAATCAATGCTTAATCTGTTACACAAATTTTCTTTTTGTGTGCACATTGCCCCTGCATTTAAGGTAGGAATTAGTATTTTTCTGTGGATGACATAGGCAAGGCAAGGCAAGGCAAGTTTATTTGTATAGCACAATTCGTACACACAGTAATTCAAAGTGCTTTACAGAATAAGAAATACATTAAAATCATAATAAAAACAAATCAAAACATAAATAATCATGAAGATTAAAAAAAAAAAAAAAAAAAAAAGAGAGACATAAATTGGAGAGAAGAGTGCGGAATGAAAACCTTTCAGTTATTTGCACAGTTAAACAGAAATGTTTTGAGTCTGGATTTAAACAGCGTCACAGAAGAGTCTGTCTCACATGTTCAGAACTGTTCCAGGTTTTAGCTGCATGAACCTGAAACGCTGACTCCCCTTGTTTAGTCGTGACTCTGGGCACCAGCAGGAGGCCGGTCCCTGAGGTCCTCAGAGTGTGAGATGGTTCATATGACACTAACATGTCACAGATGTACTTTGGTGCTCGGCCATGGAGAGACTTGTACACAAGCAGAGCTGCTTTAAAGTCTATTCTCTGAGGCACAGGAAGCCAGTGCAGAGACCTGAGCACAGGACTTATGTGCTCGTACTTCCTAGTTCGAGTAAGGACCCGAGCTGCAGCGTTCTGGATGTTCTGGATGTTCTGGATGTTCTGCAGCGTCTCACAGCTCGTTTGGAGAGACCAGTGAGCAGAACATTACAGTATCTAACCTACTGGAGACAAACGCATGGATAAGTTTCTCCAAGTCTGCTTTAGACAGTAAACCTTTGATTTTTGCTATGTTTTTTAGATGGTAAAAGGCTGCAGATGTTATTGATTTTATGTGACTGTTAAAGTTCAAGTCTGAGTCCATTATTACCCCTAGATTTCTTGCCTGATTTGAAGGTTTTAGAGCGAGAGACTGGAGGTGACTGCTGACACTGTCCCTTTGTTTCTGTGGACCAAACACTATGACTTCAGTCTTGTCAGAGTTTAGCTGGAGAAAGTTGTTTTGCATCCACACACTGATCTGTTGGATGCAGTGACCAAGTGACTCCACTGGTCCATAGTCTCCTGCTGCCAGAGAGACGTAGATCTGAGTGTCATCTGCATAATTGTGGTAGGTAGAGGTATTACATTTTAAAACTCACCACTACTTCCTGTATTTCGTACTTTTCTTTTTCAACTTTTTTTTCCCTCAAACCGCCGCTTGACTGACATGAAAGGAAAATAAACACTCCCACACCAAACCAAGTGATAATTAGTCAAACATGAAAACCCTTTATGCACTTTAACTTTCATATTTACTAAGTTTGTTGACATACCCTTGCTCCGGCGCTCCCCCGAGGGCCCGTCGGCGGCGAAGCGTGCCGTATCGAACCGCAGCCACTCCCCGCGGCGCCCTCCCCGCGTTTGGTTTCGCTCGGATGGCGTTCCTATTAGAGATGATTTAACACTTTTGAATTGATCCACACCGCTGCAGTCTTTTGTCTCTACCCATGTGTACTTGGCACGGGCTCTAAGCATCTCAAAGCTCTCATGTCTCATCTGTTTTCCCGCCCATCGTTTTTCTGATTCCCTTGTTCATTTTGTATCTCTTTCTTTTTTTTCTCTCTCTCGTTCAGGAAACTGGATGCGTTTATCTACGACGCTGCAGTGCTCAACTACATGGCTGGGAGAGATGAGGGCTGTAAGCTGGTCACCATTGGCAGCGGGTAATGCTTTTCATTTTACTTCATATCTCATAATAACACTGCGCCCACACTTGCATAGTAGTAATTAGTGCAGTACTTTTACCACAATAGTTAATTTTGGTACAAATAATGTCTAAAAAAACCTCTAAGAAAAAAGTGCGCTTGCTAGATAGAACGAAATATTCCACTTACTTCAAATTAGGGTCGTAGGATTTGCATAGAATTCTGTTAGATTCTATGGGAAGTCTACAGCTCTGATTTGAGATTTGTGGATTATAATGATTTGATACTGTAAAAGGCTGGCACTTTCTTCTTAACTTCAGAGATTATTTGTACTGTTAATTGAATATTAGTGTCTGTGGTAGCCCTGGATAGTCTAGAATTTTCCCTCATAGTCTAAAAACACCTTGAATTAAACTTTGGCACAACGGAATCACACTTTTCTTCTTCTTATTGTATTGATATCTTAGGCTGTATATATATAAATGAACATAAATAACTCGCTAGCCACCATGTTCCATCTACTTTGTGGATGAATGAGATGTGAAATGTGGGACCTGCCTCTCAAATCTGCAGGACAAATTTACCTACAGGTACGAGTAAAGCAACCTAACCCTAACCTGTTTTGGCTCCAATTGAATTTACATTGGAAAAATTGTCACCTCTCTGTAACTGCTGCAGTCAGTCTCATGATTTTGGTCTTAAAATGTTTGTATTAACTCTGATTAACTATGATTTTGGTGTTTTTATTGAGCTATTTTGTCCATAATTAAATTCCTATTCCTAATTTGGAACTCTGCTCCAAATTCGTCCCTAAAACCACTAGACTTGTGAGCTTCATTTGACTGGAGCTGAACACTGTTTGTGATTTGACACTCCCTTGGTCCACTTCTTTAAACAGTCTATGATTGATATATGCTTAAAAAGTTACTACTATTCTGAAAATAACCTGACAATTCTACATAGCAAATTGATTAAGACTAAATTGTTAGTTTAAAACTATTTATGCCACCATAGCCTGAATGAAATCTGTGAAATATATACCGTATTTTCCGCACTATAGGGTGCACTCAAAAGCCTCCAACCCCATCAAAAAACAACTGTGTGCCCCGCAATCCAGAGCGCCGTATACACGAATCCACTCGGGTGTCCCAGCACGACTTCAGTAAACTACAAAGCCGCACCACCTGCAGCTCACGCAAACACGCACGGAGAAGACAGCAACCGCGCAGCGAAAAACACCCGCAGCCACACTCATCACTCCACGCCGACGAGGAACGGAACGGAGGAACGAACCGAAAAAGCGAGTGCAATGTGCCACTTCTAGCGACATCTGAACAACTGAGTCACTGCGAACACGCCGACAATCCAGCGGTCCCAGACAGCACCCTCCCTACACGCCACAACTGAACAAAGCCCAGAGTCACCGTGAACGCGACAAACAAAGTCCGACTGACCCATCGAACTGTTGTGTTTCGTATAAAATGCGGTGCAGTTTATTTGTGAAAAAAGTTCGAAAAAAGACCATTTAATGACAGTGCGCCTTATAATCCAGAGCGCCCTATAGTGCGGAAAATACGGTATTATGTAACCTCTTATAACTAGTCTTATATCTCCAGAAAAAAGTAATTTAACTAACAAACTTGAGGCAATCTACTAGGAAATGCATTAAAAAGTGCTATCTACTCAAATCAACGAATTGTATTATACACTGTGATCTTGCATTGCATGTTTAAAAACCCAACCACATCCCAAACAGATGCCATTTTAGTATGTTTACATCGCAATCATGTGTCTGTCTCTGTATCTTTATGAATGTAAAAAGCTGCAGCTGTATGTGTAATGTTCAAAAGACAGTAAAGGACGTTATCTCATCCAGGACCAGTGCAGAGGATGTGCGCAAAACTCTACGTAAACATAACGTCATAACTGGTCTTACTGGGTCATAACTAATCATCATGCATTCATAAACGTATTTAGTATTCCCAACTATGGCCGAAGCAGAGAAGTCATGGACAAAACCTGTTCCCATAAAGGTATCGTCGAATCTAAAGGTCCTATATTATGCAAACAAATTTAAAATAATAAAATCTGTTCATATTTACAAGCTCAAACAGATTTATACTGCGCAAATGACCATGTTTATTGCTTTTAGGGTTGTCAAAAATATCGAAAATAAGATACTAATCGATACTAAAACTAGATACTCATTTGAGCAGGTATCGATACTAAAAAAGTCAGATTCACAGGACAGAAATGAACCTTTTCTGAATATTTTTAAATGATCTTGAGCTGTATCAGAACAAGTATAAGCGCACATAGATTTAACGTTGTAAGTTACGTTATATTGTTTAAAGAAAGAGTGTTTTTATCATCATTCTGGTATCGGATTTGGTTTAAAATTTTAGTATTGTGTCAGCACTAACAGAAAAATCTAAGCTCTCAAAGGTTAAAATCCAAAATTCGACATAATATAGGACCTTTAAGTGCAGTATCATTTCACTGTATTTTCATTTATACAAGTATTAAAATAAACTAAACTGTTAGCTGCATTTTTGTGTGTTTTTGTGCCATGTTTATGTAAGCGATCTCTCCAGGCACATACATTCTAACGCGCGGCGACGTTACCTGCTTGATAAAGGTTAACATATTTGTTTTTCTCTTAGCTACATCTTCGCTACCACTGGATATGGCATCGCTCTGCAGAAGGGCTCCTACTGGAAGAGACAGGTGGACCTGGCGATCCTGGCCATCATCGGCGACGGTAACGGACAGGCTCACAACGCATTCACATACACCGGATCACTCATACGTCTCTATGTGTGTGTGTGTCTCAAAACAATGGAAGCAAAAAAGGCTACTGTTTGATGTAACGATATCCAAATCTCTCTGTACGATTTTATCACGATATGCATCTCACGGTACGATATTTATTATGATATAATTGTAGATAGGACACATTTCTGCTTTTAAAATACCTTGACAAGATTTTGGTGTGAATTATTTCCGTCATAATCCCAAGAATTCAAGTAAAAAACATATTTCTTCATGTTGTCTGCGCTGAAATGAATCATGGGATATGTAGTACTTGGAATATTTCACTTTTCAATCTAGATCTATCTATGAGTGGGGTTTTCTCACCAAAGATCTGTAAATTTGGTCTGTTGGTGCTCCTATCTTGTTTCTACGGAAATAGGGAAGTTTAATGGTGTACTGTGGAACATTCCAGGCAAAACAATAACGTCTTCGTGGAGATAAGGGGGTGGTGGGCTCTCTACCGCAAAAGTACACCAGAAAAATACTCTTGTTTAAGTTTTAGAACATTTAAATGATGGTTTAATTATGTTTTTCTTTGGAATAGTTTACACTAGGGATGTAACGATATCCAAATCTTTCGATACAATATTATCACAATATGCATCTCAAGGTATGATATTTATTGCGATATTTTGGAGAGGCTGATATAATTGTGGATGGGACTCGTTTCTGCTTTTAAAATACCTTGACGAGATTTTGGTGTGAATTATTTCTGTCATAATCCCAAGAATTCAAGTAAAAAACAGATCTCTTCATGTTCTTTGCACTGAAATGAATCATGGGAAATGTAGTTTCTTATGTTTAAAAGCTGTTGCTGCTGTAAAACCGTGCATTTAAGCAAAGGAACTTATGATTCAATATATTGTGACAGCCCACGATATTATTGTGAGACTTTTGATGATACGATATCACGACATTTCGGTTATTGTTACATCCTTACTATATTATGGTTTATTCTCAAACTATGACCCAAAAAAATTAAATGCAAACTACCCCGGATCTCCATGTTTAAGCTGCACTGTGTAACTTTTCTGATGGCCCACAAGTCTGTCTCCATGGAGATGTTATTGCTCTGCCTGGACTATTTCACTTCTCTTCTATCTAGCTCTATCTATGAGTGGGGTCCTCTCGCCAAAAATCTGTAACTTTGGTCTGTTGGCGCTCTCATCTTGTTTCTACGGAGATAGAGAAGTTTACTGGCATACTGCGGAACATTCCAGGCAAAATAATAACGTCTCCCTGGAAATAAGGGGGTGGTGGGCTGTCTACCACAAAAGTACACTGGAAAAATATGTTTGTTTAAGTTTTAGAACATTTAAATTATGGTTTAATTATGTTATTTTGAATAGTTTACACTAGGGATGTAACAATATCCAAATCTCTCTGTACAATATTATCACAATATGCATCTCACGGTACGATATAATTAATAATAATATAATGATAATAATAATATAAAGTTTTTGCTTTTAAAATACCTTGACAAGATTTTGGTGTGAATTATTTCCTTTGTAATCCCAAGAATTCAAGTAACAAACATATTTTTTCTAAATTATGTTTTTTTTTTTAAATAGTTTACACTGATCCCAGTTTTATTTTCCTTTTCTTTTCAATTAATCTTGTAAACAACAGCTCTGTTTCTCTAACTCAGGGGTGGGCAATTCTTTTTTTCCATGGGGCCACATGAAAAACAGAAAATATTGTGGAAGGCCGGGCCATAATTTACTCAATTCTGTATAACTTTAATTGTATTTCTTTATAAAAAGCAGTAAATGACATTGTTTGGACAAGCTGGTAAGACTGGGAAGAGTAAATGTTATGACTAAGCAATGAAAAAGTGATGTTGTCTTACAAAAAATTACATAAAAAAAAACACCTCTAACATAAAAGCAATGCAGCTTTAGTCCATGCATGAGGTAAAATTATGAAATATGTTTATTTTGTAGTTCCAAATTAACTTAAATGGGCCAGTCAGAGTCAACCAAATGTGTCCCGGGAGCTGCACAATGCCCAGGTCTGCTCTATCCCCTTTCCACTTTCCTATTCCCGACCCGTCTTTGTTGAACTGCTACAACTTAATTCATACATCATATATAGCCGACTACTTCATATGAACATAGCCAACTTAGTCCACTCTAATACAAATTCAAAGCGGAGACGGCACACGGGTAGCCAAAAGGTTAGCCGGCTTCCAGTGGCAGCTCTGTAATTCCTTCCTCTGTACACACTCGCTCTCCCCTCTGACAGCACAAAGCATAAACAGTGCTTTGATGTTCCTCTGGACTCCAAAGCCCTTTCTGAGCACAGCCAGAGTCGATTCTCTAAGTTATTCTAATGCAGTCCCCTCTGCGGCAACTGGGGCATTATCCTATCAGAATGACTCTCTTTATAAACAAGTTACAGATTCCAAAAATATAACTGTTTTAAGTCACAGCCACAAGCATAAAGTGCACTGGGGTTGATTAAGGGTCCTATATATTACGCAAAATTTAACTCTTGTGCGCTTTAAGACATGTTAGAATGTTGTTACTTCCTCAAAAACAGACCTGAAGTTGTGTTTTGTTTCATTCACACTTGCTTATTATTAGTCTGTCTAGATCTTCAAAGCTCAAAATGCTCTGTTCGACCTTGGGATGTCATGAATCGGTAGTTTTCAAGTATAGGTCTGCGTGGGACGGAATTTTCAGTCCCACTCTTGCCCGCTCCTGTAAAGAATTGTAATTTTCATTGCCTCTTCCTCCCAAATCTGCGATATATTGTCCCGCTCCCGCCCGCAAATCCCACAGAATGGAAAGGTTCGCTTTCTTAAACCCTGTAAAACATGGAGAAGTGGAAAGGAATTGTCTAAAATGTGCGTGAGATTAGACCACATCTGCAAGTTTAGGCTGCTTAAAATGTTTTTATTAATGCCAAATAAAATATCCAGCACAAATTATGTAGGATAGGGATACATGAATCTTTGTACCGTATTTTCTGCACTATAGGGCGCTCTGGATTATAAGGCGCACTGTCATTAAATGGTCTATTTTCGAACTTTTTTCACAAATAAACCGCACCAGACTTTAAACGAAACACAACAGTTGGATGGGTCAGTGGGACTTTGGTGTGTTCACGGTGACTCTGGGCTTTGTTCAGTTGTGGCGTGTAGGGAGGTGCTGTCTGGGACCGCTGGATTGTCGGCGTGTTCGCAGTGACTCAGTTGTTCAGTTGTGTCTAGAAGTGACACATTGCACTCGCTTTTTCGGTTCGTTCCTCCGTTCCGTTCCTCGTCGGCGTGGAGTGATGAGTGTGGCTGCGGGTGTGTTTCGCTGCGCGGTCGCTGTCTGCTCTGTGTGTGTTTGCGTGCGCTGCGGGTGGTGCGGCTTTGTAGTTTACTGAAGTCGTACTGGGACACCCGAGTGGATTCCTGTATAGGGCGCTCTGGATTGTGGGGCATGCAGTCGATTTTTGATGGGGTTGGAGGCTTAAGAGCGCGCCCTATGGTGTGGAAAATACGGTATATTTTACTTTACACTCATATTTAGTTTGCGGGACTGCAGTTTATCATCCCACCCGCCCGCTCCCGGCCGCAATGAGCTTTTAAAATGTGTCCCTCACCACACTGTTTTGCCTCAAGTGCAGGGCTCTGTTTTCAATTTAACAGCTCCTTTTACCTTTTGTTCAGTAGAGATTGACAATTCCAGGTCTGAAATTTCCCAGATGATTCTAGTGAAGGTGTGTGAAGTTTGAAAACACAGTGGAGCACTTCCTGTATCATCACATGACATCACAAGGTGGATTGGAGTGTTTTCTGTTTGACAGAAGAACTAAACATGCAGGATTTGTGTTAAACTTGTGTGAATGAAACAAAACCTAACTTCAGGTACAGTATGTTTTTGACGAGCAAACAACATAACATAGATCAGATAACGGTGTATGTAAGCCAAGAGGGGTCACAACAAACGCAAACGCCGCAACAAATACAAATGCGACAACACAACAAAAAGCCACAACAAACCAAAAAAGCCACAACGGAAATGACCGCGGGACTCTATTTTCCGACGGACCGATCAAGCGAACGGAGAAGTTGGAAACATAAGTAAAAGTAATTTATTGTTTTATCATTACTCGTTTCATTGTAGTTCTTCTTCTTCACTTGCCGCTTGATCGGCCTGTCAGAAAATAGAGTCCTGCGGTCATTTCCGTTGTGGCTTTTTTTGGTTTGTTGTGGCTTTTTGTTGTGTTGTCGCATTTGTATTTGCTGCGGCGTTTGCGTTTGTTGTGACATCTCCCCGTATTCCGTAAATATGGGCTCTTTAAAGATGCACTATGTAACTTTTCTTGTGTGCTCTGTTACTGCTTGACTTTGATATCGCCACAGTATAGATTTAAACATACTTTTTTGGCTTTTTCTGTAGCCAGTTTTTGAAAAAAACATGTATTTTTACTACGAGCGGGGCCTCTTGTTGTCACCTGCTTGTTTCTATGATGAGAGATACGTTTAATGACATACTGTGGAACATTTCAGTCAAAGCAATAACATCTCTATAGAGAAACAGGTGGCAGACCCTCTAGTGAGAAGAATTACACAGTGAATCCTTAAATGAACTCCCCTTGTTAGGTTTTATAAGGCTTTACAGAGCATGCCCCATATGTATGAAATGAGATTAAATCAGAATATCGCTGCTTTTGTTTAGCTTTGTTTTCATTGCATAATATGGCACAGATAAACTCCCATTTGCAGTCAAGTGGCAATGCAGTCAACTAGGTATAGTCGCTTCCAATCATTTTCATTGTTAGCGATAGGCATAATTAGTTCTGATAAGAAGCCATTTAGAAGATTATGTGTAAGGGGGGTAGAGGTAGTGAACAGGAACTTATGTTAATGAAAGAAATGCACTACTCGTCTTCCTAGATGGTATCACAGTGTTGTAGAGGTTTGGAGAGTTAAAAGAAATACAACAAAGA